ATTTTTTTTTTCTGAGCTATGGTGGACACATGACACCTGGATTCCCCCCCCCTCCATTTCTTCTTCTCTCCCTTTAGATGAACTTCGCCATCTTTTTGAACGTCATCCGCATTTTGGTGCAGAAATTAAAATCTTCAGAAACTAGAGCAAGGCCCACGAAGCATTTCGCGTAAGTGACGAAACCTTTCTCCCACTGTTTGTTGCCGTTTTTCTGAGCTATGGTGGACACATGACACCTGGATTCCCCCCCCCTCCATTTCTTCTTCTCTCCCTTTAGATGAACTTCGCCATCTTTTTGAACGTCATCCGCATTTTGGTGCAGAAATTAAAATCTTCAGAAACTAGAGCAAGGCCCACGAAGCATTTCGCGTAAGTGACGAAACCTTTCTCCCACTGTTTGTTGCCGTGCAACCAGCCTTCTGCCATCCACATTTGAGGCCTTTGGAAGTACGGGGGGTGGGGGGAGAGAATATTATTCTCATGAATTTCTCATTCTTGGTCATTTCCTGAGTCTCTGTCATGAGACCTCCTCTTGTACCATCAAGATTTTCTGGTTTCCCATGGAAACACAATCTCCAGGTTTGTTTTGCCTATTTATTTACTCTCCTAGCATCTTAAAAAGCAGAGACAACACCTCGCCGACAAAGGTCCACATCGTCAAAGCTATAGTTTTTCCAGTAGCGATGTATGGAAGTGAGAGCCGGACCATAAAGAAGGCTGACCGCCGAAGAATTGATGCATTTGAATTGTGGTGCTGCGAGGAGATCAAACCTATCCATCCTGGAGGAAATCAACCCTGAGTGCTCACTGGAAGGACAGATCCTGAAACTGAGGCTCCAATACTTTGGCCATCTCATGAGAAGAGAAGAGAAGACTCCCTGGAAAAGACCCTGAGGTTGGGAAAGTGTGAGGGCAAGAGGAGAAGGGGACGATAGAGGACGAGATGGATGGACAGGGTCACCGAAGAGACCAACATGAATTTGACCCAACTCCGGGAGGCAGTGGAAGACAGGAGCGCCTGGCGTGCTCTGGTCCATCAGTTCACGAAGAGTCAGAAACGACTTAACAACTTAACAGCAACAATTTACTCTCCACCCCCTTTTCCAGGCCTTTGCTTTTCTGAACAAAACAGGAACATTCTTCGGGCTGCCATTCTGTTTCCTTGATAGGAAAGATGGCTTTTTGCACAGGAATGACTATAACATTCCACAGATTGCTGCTTTTGGGAAATTTATAGCGGGGGGGAATTTACTTGGTCTCACTAGTACAGCCAGACCCCCGTATCTGCGGGATCGGTATTCGTGGCTTCACTTATCTGCAGTCTGAAAATGTTAAAAACATTAAAAGAAAGAACCCAGAAATAGGCATTTCCATGCTATAGTTAGCAGAACTGGCCAGAGAACATGCTATGTATAGAACCCACTGTATTATCTGTGGTTTTCAGGATCTCCGGAGGATACGGGGTGAGGGTGGGTTCCTACAGTATAAGAATTCTTGTGGACAATAACAGAAAAGTCCTCACTCTCTTTGCTGGCAAGGAGAAGAATGTTTCAGTTCTTCAGGCAGGGTGGATGAGGATTTGCGTTCTTCCTTGTCTGTAGGAACCAGTATGCTATTAGCAAACCATCATATGAGTCTCCTCTGTTGGTCTCACAGGAAATGTTCGGATGCCATTTCTAAACTGAGTGGCTTTCAAATTTCTCTCTTCCAGGAGGTTGGCCAAATCCACTCTCCTCCTCATCCCCCTCTTTGGGGCACACTACGTTATCTTCGCCTTCTTCCCAGAGAGCACGTCTGTAAGTCGAGGGTCCACTGTAGAACCCACTATTATCTGTGGTTTTCAGGATCTCCGGGGGGTGGTGGTCCTACAGTATAAGAATTCTTGTGGACAGTAACGGAAAAGTCCTCACTCTCTTTGCTGGTCAGGAGAAGAACATTTCAGTTCTTCAGGCAGGGTGGGTGAGGACTGACATTCTTCCTTCTTTGTAGGAACCAGTATGCTATTAGCAAACGACCAGATGAGTCTCCTCTGTTGGTCTCACAGGAAATGTTCGGATGCCATTTCTAAACTGAGTGGCTTTCAAATTTCTCTCTTCCAGGAGGTTGGCCAAATCCACTCTCCTCCTCATCCCCCTCTTTGGGGCACACTACGTTATCTTCGCCTTCTTCCCAGAGAGCATTGGGATGGTGGCCAGACTGTACATTGAACTCGGCCTGGGCTCTTTTCAGGTGAGGGCCTTCTCGAACGCAATTCCCGTTTTTATTCTTTTTTACCAGGGAGGAGGAAAGTTATATTTTTTGGAGTTAAGGATGTATAATGCATACTTGTGAATTTTCTTCTCCATGCAGAAAAGTCTTGACACATCTATGCAGCACATGGTAGGCCTCACTTTGAGTCTTATGACCAGTTCTGGATGCCAGACTTCAAGAAGGATGCTAACAAATGGGAACAAGTTCAGAGGAGGGCGGCAAGGAGGACCAGAGGACTGGAAACCAAATCTTATGAGGAAAGGCTGAAAGAATTGGGCATAATTAGCTTTGAGAACAGAAGGCTGAGGGGGTGATAGGATAGCATTTTTCAAAGATTTGAAAGGGTGTCATACAGAGGAGGGGCAGGATCTGTTCCTGATCATCCCAGAGTGCAGGACACGTAATCATGGGCTCAAGCGGCAGGAAACCAGATTTAGGCTAAATATCAGGAAAAACCTCTTAACTGTTAGAGCAGTAGGACAATGGAACCAATTAACCCAAGAGGTGGTGAATGCTCCAACACTGGAGTCATTCAGGAAAAAAAATTAGACAACTGTCTGTCAGATCTGCTTTGATTTGGATTCCTGCCTTGAACAGAGAGTTGGATACGATGGCCTTATGAGCCCCTTCCAACTCAATTATTTTATGATTCTGTGATTCTATCAAATTTTTTAACCACAGTGAGATTTTTTTGCTTCTACATGAAAGTGAAAAGGTCATCAACGTTAGCCCTCCCTCCAAAGAAATCTCTGTCTTTAATTCTACAGAATACAGCAATTCTATATCTGTGTCTACCTTACACAGTGACAGCAGTTTGATGACACTTTAGTCCCTGTGGCCCAATCCTACAGAATCCTATGATCTGTCATTTGGGGATGGATGTAGAATTCTTTGACAGAATCCAGTATCTTTGGAATCTTTATGATAAAGCCATGACAGATAAGATTGAATTTTGCATTTTCCTGATGTAGCCGAGGTCTCAGACACAAGAGAGTGTCGACCCACCTTGTGATTCTGTTATCTGGTATCTTGTTGCTGGGGAATGTGCTGTGGTCTCAGTGGGGTGATGTCCAGCTTCGTTAATGGCCAACCACAGCTCATTAGAGTGGAGGGGAACATGTTGCAGTTTTGGATTTCTAGCTATGCAGATACGCACAGAGAAGAACAGCTACACGTTCCCCCAGAGAGTCCACCCCTTTCTCATTAATGGGCATTTAAGGTATCAAGAACTCACTCTGAGGCATTTTTAGGAGGAAGAATAAAATGTTTCATTACTTACAGTTGTGAACAGATCAAGAGCAAAATGAGCAACTGACTTCAACAGACAAAAGAGAGGGAAAGGGACACTCAGCAAAGAGGCGGGGCTCTCTTTGAATTCAGAAGCAGGGAAGGGACGATTGGTTAGTGCTGGATAGATTGACAGTCATCCCAGCCCAGAAAAAGTCCCTCCCAGTCACATGAACCACAGGCATCATTCAAAGTTGCAAAGCTGACTCCTACAGAACACTCTACATGTACAGCTGTTATGCTCTATGGAAAGAAATGGATTCTAGCTGTTGTCTCCTGCTGTGGAAGGTGTAATTATTTCTCATTCTTCTCTCTCTCTTTAAAAAAGGGATTCGTGGTTGCCCTCCTCTACTGCTTCTTAAACGGAGAGGTAAGTGGGCATGTGAAGAGCTTTCCAAGGAGTTTGAAAGGCATGCACATCTCTTGTGATCTGGTTCCCAGAAAAGACCTTGAGTGAATTATGGGAGTGCTTTGATTTATTCCAGAAAAGCTTGCCAAAAGGCTTTAATTCATCTTGCATTGCTCCTGGGCTTTGCTGAAATTATACACCATGGCTTCTCTGGCCCTCTAAGTCAGCGCTGACCTGTTTAGGAGCACCATTCAGAACCTTGGACAGCTCCTGTACAATTTCGACTAGAAATGGGCAAATGTGTATCTTTGGACAGCGTCAGCCTGGAGAATTCTGGGGTGTCACAATCAACAAACACAAATGTACACAACACCCGTTCTGAGTATTCACCACTAGAGATGGGGGTATTCATATACGAATATCCCCGCACAGGTGGCATTAATGAGGGTCCAGCCCCATGGGGCTGGAGGATCCACTCACCGATCTGCCGCGGACATGGACGGCATGATTCTACCAGTGGCTCCGCAGCACGCGATTCGCCACTCGCCACGCCTAGCAGGAGGCAGGAGGATGAACCTCGCTGCAAGGTCGAAGCGTGGCTCACAGATGGCGTGGATCGGTGAGTGGGCTGTCTGGCCCCATGGGGCTGGACCCTTGTTAATGCCACTTGTGTGGGGATATTCATATTCATATATGAATACCTCCATCTCTATCCACCACCCCAACCCAAGCAGTCACCAACCTCTGTTCTTGAGCAGAGGAGGGAAGATCTCCTTGCCGCTGAGTTGAAACAGGGCTGTACAGTGGTGCCTCACTAGACAATGATAATCCGTTCCACTGAAATCGCTGTTTACGAAATAATCATCTAGCAAAAAGCATTTCCCCATTGGAATGCATTGAAACCTGTTTAATGCGTTCCAATGGGGAAGAATCGACATTGTCTAGTGAAGATCGGCCCTAGGAAAGCCGCTTTGCGAACCGCCGATCAGCTGTTTAAATCGCTGTCTTGCGAAGCTTAGGTCCCGAAAACACCCATTTTGCAAGCATGGAGGAAGCTGTCAAAATCGTTGTCTAGCGAAAATTGGTTTCCAAAGCAGGGACTAAACATTGTCCAGCGAAATTTCCGCATAGGAATCATTGTTTTGCGAATCGCTATAGCGATCACAAAAAGTCAATGTCTAGCGAAAAAACTGTCATGCACGGTAACTGTCTAGTGAGGCACCACTGTATTTCCTCCTTCAGCCTGTCCCTTCACCCAGGATCATGGATGAAAGATCTCCCTTTCACTCAAAACAGTCAACAAAGGGGGAGCTGTCTTCCTTCCTACTTATACAAGAAAAGGCGCCGTGTCTGGCTCAGATATAGCATTCACTCTCTGTTTCCTTTCGGTCCACTATTTTCTCCTCTTAGGTTCAGGCCGAGTTCAAGAAGCGGCTACGTAAGTGGCACTACCAACGCTACCTCAGCTTCACCCGGAAGCACCGAAGCGTCTCCCAGGACACCAGCCCCACCAATTATGTCACACAGTTGTCTCTGCTGGACAGGATCAGCCCCCAACGGAGCATTGGCCCAAATGATCTCTCCTCTGTCTGAAAAATCTGAAGCGCTGGCTGGCCTCCCGTGTTCCTGGGAGGTCCCTGGTCTTATGCTTCGATCCAGCTGCTCATGGTTACCAGGAGACCTTCAGCCACCCCAGCTATGGAAATTGTGAGCCTTCAGAGGGATGAACTCAGCTCCAGTCATGAAGGCTTCTGCTTGATTTCAGTCTATGTCTGTGGAGCCAGAGGTTGGGAGTTCGATTCCCCTGCTATGACTCCTTGACAAGGGATTGGACTTGATGATCTAGAGGGTCCCTTCCAGCTCTGCCGTTCTAAGATTATTATTATTGGGGTTGTAAGTCCAAGGCTATGACTATGAGGCTCAGGGTTTGGGGCCCATTCTGTGGCACTCAAGAAATGGGATACAGCTCACCTGGCAGTCCAAGATGTTTGGAATTCATTCTCGTTGCTTCAGGACACGCCATTTAGATAAGCTCAGATGCACCCTTCTTCCAGATGTTGCATACTTTAAAACTGCTACATCAGCAGCAGCTGGAATTAATACTTTGTCTTCGGAACGAATCAATGAGTCTATATGGGAATCTCTTTCTCCCGTACACCATTTGGCAGTTGCCGGAATTTTTGTGGAAGTGTCCATCCTCTGGAACATCCCAAAGGGGCTACTCTGTGGTCCCAGATGATGGAGCCACAATCTCAGGAAGTGGAATTTCCTATGAGCAGAACAGCAGCTTACTATTTTTGTGAGTTTACATTAGTAAAAAAAACACTTGAGTTTAAGACACAGGGTGTTGTCTTTCTGTGGAGGGGGTGATGATGGCAAAGGATGATTTCAAAAGCCAGACCCCATCTCAAAAGGGAAAATGTCATTTTTGTCCGAGATAGCAAATTTTGTACTGATGTTGCTTTAGTGGGGATGTCGAATTACAGCCGTGGTTCTCATTCCCAGCCTTGGGTCACCCAGGTGCTCTTGGACTGCAACTCCCAGAAGCCTTCACCACCAGCTGTGCTGGTCAGGGTTTCTGGGAGTTGCAGTCCAAGGACACCTGGGTTCCCCAAGGTTGGGAACCACTTCACTTCCAGCTTGGGTGTGTCTGGTAATGGTGCCCTACCCTGATTTTACTGGGATGCAGCTGTCATCATCCTTCGCCGTTGGCCATGCTTATAAGGGATGATGGAATTTGTAGTCTGAGAGCATTTGGAGGTCCACGACTGCTACCCCTTGCTTGGGCAGTATATGTAGGGGTTAGAACAGTCTCCAGACACCTCATCACCAACTTGGCGCAGGGTGTGACCACTAGGGCTATAAACTTTACTCCAGTTTGTCTTAGATCAAAATGGCACACTTCCTCCTCACAGAAAGAGGGCAAGATGGTTGCCTTGGTTTCTGAGCCAATTTCCCACATTTCCAAGACCATTTTTGTGCACTTGTACACAATTTAAGAGAATGATCGTAGCAGCCTAGTTCTTGCGTGGATTGATGTATGGCACAAGCATGCGATGGGTTGCTTGTATCTTGGTAAGCAATCAACCTGGGATTGCTTCATAGGTCTGTGTGGGTTCAGAATAATAAAATATGTGTGTGCTTAACTTTGGAAAGGGTTATGGTTTCTCCTCCTCACCCTGGAAGGAACCATTCTCACAGCAGCTGAAGAATCCTCGTCACTCTGTCTCACTGTGTCAAGTCACCATGGGATAAGGTTTCTTTGTATCTCTAGGGAGCATTCAGCAGCCAAAATCCTGTTGCATAGAGGCACAGAAGGCATAACATTTCAAAGCCAATTGCCGTTAAGTTACAATATCTCCCTAGTTATGTGTTGCATGCAGTGTTGCATAACTTTGCGGACAATGGATAATGCTTACAAGAGATTTCTCAACTTACAGGAATCCACTTCCAAAAATTAAGCCTTTTGCATAACCGTGCAACAGGATTTCAGCCATACTTTCTCAGCTTTAGCCACCTCATGAGTTGTGGGAGAACCAAATATTTACATTATTCTGAGCAACGTGGCACAAGCAAGGAGGATCAATGTAATTTTTTTTAAAAAAGCAAATAATTAAGATATATGCTCTGTAACTCTTCGAGGCTGTGTTCCCTCCGCGCCATCATCATTCTGACAAAAATGTCACAACAAATGTTTTTTATTGTTGTTATTGTCATCATCATTATTATTACATTTTCTCTTTAATAACATAGACTCTCAAACTCCAAAATAGATCTCAGTGGAATAAAAGAAAAGAAACATAGCAATGTCTAAGTGCAAAAATTGATGTTCAGACCTCCAGTTGAAGCAGTTCTGCATTGTGCGTGTCCTGCTGTCCCAAGGGCTTAGCACTGAAGACGCCTTTGAACAAAATGCCCTCTCCAACCATCTTTATTTCACCATATCCTTCTTCATCTCCCCCCCCACCCGTTCAAACATTTGGTGTAAAATGACCCAAGAGGAAGTTCTTTAATGTTGTCCCCCCCCATTAAAAGCAAATTTCTTTTAGAAACACATGTAGATGTGTATAAACACATATATACATATGCATATGTGCATGCATATGTGTATAAACATTTATGTACCGCTATGGAAGGAAAATCTAACAATCCTGGCTCACAGGCATGCTATCAGAAGGCCTAATTCTAAGCTTAATAGATCTCAGTGTGACATCTGTTCTCAGACAGGTGTGCTCAGGATCACATTGACAGTCCATGGAAAGGCTTCAGGTATAGCTGATGGTCCATCATTAGGATGTAGACCAGTGCTTCCCAACCTTGGGTCTCCAGATGTTCTTGGACTACAGCTCCCAGAAACCCTAGCCAGCACAGCTCATGGCGAAGGCTTCTGGGAGTTTTAGTCCAAGAGTCCAAGGTTGGGAGACGTTGCACTAGAGTGGTGGCTCTCCACCTTGGGTCCCCAGATGTTCTTGGACTAAAACTCCCAGAAATCCTAGCCAGCACAGTTAGTGGTGAAGGATTCTGGAATCTGCAGTCCAAGAACACCGGGGGAAACCAAAGTTGTAGATGACCATAGGTAGGGAGCTGGGACAGATCTCTGCTCACATTGAATGAGAACTCTTTTTTCAGAACAGGTCAAGAAACCTTTGGTCTCACACCTGTGCCCTTTGGAGCATAGATGGGGAAAAATTTCCTTGGGTTTCCGCAGCTTTGACAAAAGTAGTGGTTTTGCCCTGGCTCATGGGGGGAGGGGATGTACTCAAAAGGTTTACACCAACCCTGGCCCTCCAGATGTTCTTGGACTTCAACTCCCAAAAATCCTGGCCAGCAGAGGTGGTGGTGAAGGCTTCTGGGAGTTTTAGTCCGAGAACATCTGGAGGCCCAAGGTTGGGGACCACAGGTTTACACAATAGAAAAGTGTCTGGGCTGTTTGTGAGCCCAGACAAAGCAATGCACATTTTCCAATGTAGACAGTGAAAATGTACACAACTGAAGAAAATACACCCGGGGGGGGGGCTTAGCTGATGGAGAATGGTGCATGAACTAGCTAAACGCACCCATAAATGCCCACAATAGGGAAACTGTGTCGAGATGTGCACAGATTTCCATTAGAAAGAAACTCAAAAAGTTGAGAGGAGGGAGAAAATGCAGCCGAGATGGAGAGAAAGAGAACAGCCTTAAGGGTGAGAGATTTTCACATTTCTACCAAGGATTATACCCTACCAAGACTTCTTTTGGAGTAGACATGCATAAGGATGCACTCCAAGTCAGTGTTGCTGGTAGACATAACAAGGATGGGCGGACAAGGTATCAAATACCCAGAAGCTCTGGTTGAAGAATATTCGACACTGGTGAAAGGCGTCAAATGGAAATGAAGACCTTTTCACTGTTTTTCTCTCTAACTGTTGTGCCCAGTTCGGATGCACGTGTCACTATTTCTGGTCTATGTCAACATCACAGGGCTTTGACCATAAGTCTTCTTTATCTGTTTGTTTGTTTTTTTGCTGTTAGGGGGAAAATGGCAGGTTTTTTGCTGTCTTTGAGTGGAGAGACCTCCGTCGTAAATTTCAAAGAGCCGTGGGAAATTGTTAAGGGAAAAATGCCAGTTTTTTTTTGCTGTCTTTGAGTCGTAAATTTCAAAGAGCCATGGGAATTGGATGACTCCCTTTCCTGTTAATTTTGGGGAATACGAATAAAATCAGTTTGCTCATTTGGGCAAACTGAACGAATTTTTTTCACAGTCTCTTTTCCTAAAGACCCTCATTGAATGAGAAGCCTTCTCTGATGGGATGTTAAGTTTTGGATCACAGGTCCCATCACCCATACTTTCAGTGGCTGGAGATGATGGACGCTGTGGTGTAAAACACTGGAAGGCATTACACATGGAGCAAGTAGTGCTCACCCGTGGCAGAAGGTTGGGGACTAATATTTCTGTATAAAAGCATGCTAGGAGATGTGATTATGATTTAGGACATAATTCATGGTAGAACTTCTTGTCAACTACTATGAGCATTTTGGACTTCCATTGTAATGACATGGCCATCCTGGATTCATCACCCCATTCATAGGTGGTCCATATGATGATTATTTCAGGATATCCTGGCTCCTAGGATTATTGTGGTGGTAGCAACTTCGTCTCTCATTTTAAAGAAATGAATTGTTTTGATGAAAAACAGAACAGAAATGAAGCATTTCCTGCATCACCAGGAGGTTGGAGCTTCCCTTAGACGTTCTTGCGAGTCTAGAATTGTATCAACCCATGAAGTGGCTCTCACCATGTTAAAAATCCACCTTCCACGCACAAAAATCTGGCCTCTATCCGCCACCTCAACATGCTGTCAAACTGGCCTGCACAAACCAATCAAAAAAGTAATGTGAGATTTCCTTCCTATGAAGCCTCAAGCTAGAGACATAGTAAGGATCTGTGTTTATACTGTATTTTTCTGTGTATAAGATGCCCCCTTGTATAAGACGTCCCCCCTCGTAAGCCACCACTTGTCTGCATTCCCCCCTCCCCTTTTCAACTGCTAGAAGAGGCAGACACATCTGATCAAACAACCACATTTGAAAAACGCACACATAAAAGGTCGTCCATTTCAAAGGTATAAGAAACCCCAACAAAAGCCAGCCAAGCGTTAGACAAAGGAGATGAAAATCAGTACAATAGGACCCCCTTCTCGGCAGGATCAGGATCTACTGATTCACTTGTCTACATTCTGAAAAAATATTAAAAGAAAAATCCTACAAATATATATTTCTAAAGATGAAGGTACCGGAACTGGCCACTAGAGGGAGGCAGAGAGCATGCTATGTAGTGTGTTGACTATTAAAATAGTGTTTGCTATCACTTGCATTTTTCAGCATCCGCGGAGGGGGGCTTGGAACCGATCCACCATGGATACGGTGATCCTATTGTACAACTAAGGCATCAATTTTGAATGGTGCACAAAAAAATCATGAATTTGGCAACACAGACGAAAAGGGCCGGAGGGTGAACCCGTAGGACAAATGAAAAAGCCATGGACCATTCAGGCACCGAGAAGAACTAAAGATGGGGAAAATCAGAAGCCTGTGGATGCAGACTTGACCGCTGTGTGTACCCAGTGGCACAAGTTACTCCCACCCTTGACAACATGAGCTCTTTATGGCCAAGTCCAGCCGAATCAACTGCATCACATTATCATGACCAGGTGTCAGGTGTAACCACCCTCTTAGAAACACGGTGCAGGCAAAATTCTCCACTGCCATCCACGGGATTTTGAAACTTGCTCTACAGAGACTGTCATTCAACACTGGTGAGGTTTTCCTTTTCAAACTCGCTGTAACCAGGGTTATGGCCTCTCTTGATGCCCATGGAGCGTAAGCTGTCCCCGCCCCCTTCTTACTCATGGGAGGATCTGCCCTCACATCTGTGCAGTTTTTGACGGTCCATTTACACCTAGGGCAAATTTCCTACTCTTGTGGCTAAAACATCATAGTGGTCCAATGGAAGGGTAGAAATCATGCGTCTTCACATTTATGGAAATGTTGGCACGTTTAGTCTTTTGGCACTCTTAGGAAAAAGTTGGCCACTCGGATTTTTTTGCAACATGATACTTCATCCACGTGTGACCAAGAATCCAGATTCACAGTCCAATCCTCTACATCCGTACAATCCTTTTGCTCACAATGGCCCCTTCCTCTGAGATTAACCTCCCCCAACACACACACACACACACACACACACCATGTATCATCGCGCACAGGCAGTTTTGTATAAAGGCATCAATGTTTATTATTTACTATTTTTGCCCCATCTGACACAAGCAAGAAAGGATTTGGGATTCAGCTCAATTCACCATTTGAAGCACATCAAGAGAGGTCAATGCTTTGTTTTCTAGAGAGTTAAATTGATGATCACACATTCTTGCAACTTTGTAGAAAAATGCCCTTGCTCCAGGTGAGCTTTATCACAGATCATGTCTGAACCCTATCTAAACTGAATTGGGTCCAGACGTAATATAGAATATATATGTTGAAAATATCATATTTTTCAGCGTATAAGACTATACTTTTGTCTAAAATCTTTAGTCTAAAAATTGAGGGTCATCTTATACACGGAAGTAAGCTGAGGAGAGAACAAAAACAAGTGGAGGGGAAAGCAGGGATCAAAGTGATCCGGCAGCACCTTGATCCCTTTCCCCCTGCACTTGCTTAGCCCCACTTAGATGTCAATTTTGGATTAGAAAAGTGGGAGGCGTCTTATACACGGAAAAATATGGGTAATTTCCATAGATTTCAACAGTCCCACTCTAACTAGGTCTGGATTAGAGATGGGCATGAGCCAAATGACGAACCAAAACAACTCAGGAACTGGGTTGGTTCATAGATTGGTTCGCGGTTAGGTCCATGCCTTCTCTTTTGCAAAAACAAAGCGCCAAACTTTTTTTCCATTTGGTGCTCCATTTTGGCAAAACAAATGCCCCCACCCCTTTCCCTCCACTCCCGTTGCCTCCTTTCCTGGTCCTGCCCCCTCCTCCTCTTCCTTTGGCATTGCCGCCACCTTCTGAGATAGCGGTCCAGCTTCCCTTCTGCACCGGCCTACTGGCTGATAGGCTGAGCAAGGAAGCCCCCACCTCCTCACCCAGCTACCCGTGATTTGCACCACAGACAACCTGTCAGGCCAAATATCACCGAAAGTTTCATAAAGCATCTGCTTCTGTAAAGCCATCAAGAGATGAAAAAACAAACAAACCAGGAAATCATTGAGAACCTGGTGGGCCTCCATTCCATGACCCAGGCCATGTGCTGCGGTGGACCGTTTGGCTCCCAATCCCTACACACCCCTTTTCACAAAAGTGGATGTGCAAGCACAGATGGGCAAACGTGTGCATCGAAGGGGACAATCACAGTCCTGGCTGACAACACGCTGTGTGATACAACAGAGGAAGGAGTGCTGTCCAGGACGGATCAAGACATCTTGCCACCAGAGAAGGATAAAACGGTCCTTCTTTGCCCACACCTTTGTCCTCACCTACACAAGCAGACTAGGCTGTCTGGTGACTCGCCCGTCAGATGGACGGGCCGGGACAAGTCAGGTTAGGGGATTAGGATGAGATGCACAACAGGCTCAGCTTCATCCTTCAGCACAGAGGAGCAGCCAAGGGGCTCCGAAGCAACAGCCAAGAAACCGCAGTCACTCCCCTTGAGGTTACTGTCTTATTCAGCCTAACAGTAGGGCCGGCACTGCTACAGTTCCCCTAACCTTGCGGGACCTTCAACGTGGAGGACCTCTTGGTGAGAGATCTCCCTTTCTCTTTCTTCTAACAGGAAGGGGTGGGTGGGTGTCAATATGAGTGCTCTGGTGAGGAATGTGTATCACTGCACTGACTGCGTCATCTGTTTAAGGAGGACTGAATGCTTCTTGGGTAGAGACCAGATCCTGGCTTGCCACCAAGGGCCCCTTCTTCCCTAGGCTCCTAAACTTCAAATGAAAATAACCACATTCATGTCAATGAAAGAAAAAGAACTTCAGCTTTTCCACTGCAACTCTCTAGGCTGTACCCAGCTTGCATCCATTTCTTCGTATTCAACAAAATATCCTATATTTCTATCTATATTTTTTTTCTCCCTCTGAGATTTACACACACTCTCATACGCACATGGACACACATGCACACACACTGGTTAGAGAGGCTTTAGAAACATCACAAGAGGCTCAAAACGATCCACAGTGGTACAATTCACAGTCCTTTGGAGACGTCATGCCTTGTGCAACGTCTCCGGGACGGGAAAATATATACTGACATCATTGTTTGCATTCGGCTGAAGTAGCTATGTATCAGCTGTGGCTTTTGACTATAAGGCAGGATCAGGAAAAGATGATTCCTGTGTCCCTCACCTGGAAATCAAAGGCATTCTTGACTCTTTGTGTGTTTATGTATTGTCTAGACATTCAGTTGGAAAAAGGGTCTACATTCAAAAAAACCAGTCCCCTTCACACACCTTCCAAAGTCCGGCCATTTCTCTGCCATAGCTTCTTAACATCCAGGTGTCCTGACCACAGGGAGACCTTCTGAGACTTACCACAGCAGATTCCCCCTGTTTTAGCTAGGTCATCCACAGCCTTGGTATCATCCTAGCCCTTTTTGGTGTGGACCTTCCCATGGCAAAGAGATTACATTTTTGTGTAATGCCCAACAACAGTCAACCAGGCATCTGATGTTGCCACCTTTGGTCACGTTCTGGATTCTGTGACCAGCTGTCCGTCAAAGGGGAAACAGGGATCGTTCCGGAGAACTTAAATTCCCAGGATTCATCTACAGATGATGTGAGAGCTAGTCTCCCATTTTAGATTGGTTTTCTTTAAAAATAATAATAATAATGGAGTGGAGGGAGAGAAAGCAACCCATCAATCTAAAAAAATAGAGCTCTATTGTTGCTGGGATGTCCCTTTTAGCAAATTCACAGCTTCACCTAAAATTTCAGATACATTCTTGAATAAAGGAAGAAAGAATGGCAACCACTCCACGTTTTGGGTGTGGATCACAGCTCGGCGTCGAAAGCTGGTGTCTACACAGTTCTACGCACCTCGGCGGACGGTGTGTGGAGTCCCAGAACCTCCTGGTGGAATCCGATTCGATAGTCATAAAGACACGGCTGGTTGCAGTATATCCACCGAGGTGTTTACCTTTAAATTTTCAGTCATGGGGGGAAAAATTTGGAGATGCTTTTCGGAACAACGACCAAAGTAGGTGGGGAGTCCAAGAGGTGCTCGTCCACAGGGATCAGCTTGACAACCAAAAATCACGAGGGCACAACGATCACCAGAAACACAAAGCCAACGATGGGAATATTTGCAGCTTGGGTGGGTCGGACGTGGATTTCCCTCCAACCCACCCCATGGATGATCGCGGTTGCATATTTACAAGACTCTTTGATCCATTCTCTTCCATCTGTTTGAGGTTACGAGTTTCTGACGTCCGGAAGGATCTTGCGTCTCTTTTTTAATTAAAAGGGAGATGGATTGGAAAAACACACAAGAGACAGAAACGACAACCCACACCACCATAATTATGACTCTGTTTTTGTCTGTTTTCAAAGGGGGGCTCTCTTGTTCCTTTTGCAAGGGGTGGACGGGGAGAAGTGGCTTCACGCATTCATGTGGCCAGGTTCTCCGCATTTATGCTCGACATGCGAATCTGTGAGCTGCTTTTGCTCAGAATAGACAACTGAGTCCCCCCATTCACTCCGCTGCTGGCCAGGGAGGGGTGACGATGCTTGAAGTCCACAGCAAAATACCGGTTGACTTTCCAGCTCCTCCATTTTCTCTTTATCTCTGATTGCACCTTTAGGGAGAAACTTTAAAAGGTCATTTTTTAATGTACTTAGCTGTTTGGGAACATGCTGATACAGTATCTAAAAATTACACATGCGAAAACACACACACACACACACACACACACACACACACACACACAAGGGCTGTGCTCTGGATTGGGAGAAATGACAATGTCTGAACTGAATCAGGATGATTCGAAACCCGTATCAAAGTGGGCATGTTCTGGAACAAAGTAGCATATAGTTAGGTTATACAGTTCCCTAATAGCACTGTTGGGAATGGGGAAAAAGACCTCAACCGCTTGTGTTTCTACTTAGAACGATCTGTCCTTCCCCTTTAAGGGCTGTCCCACACCTTTCTGGCACAGGGCTGGGGCATGCAATCTTTTTGGGCTGATTCACTGAGATGCAAAAGAGTTCTTTGTTCTGCCTTTGTGAGCTAAAATAGATTGAACTGGAAAAAATGAGCTTTTATAAGCACAGGCTAGGTTGCACCAAATTTCACAGTGTGGACTGGCCTGGAGTGAAGCCAATTCTCAAATCAGTTCAGCTCCAGAGGCCAAACTGAATAAGGCCCACTACACAACCCAAAAAGCTGACTACCTAAACGTCATCAGGTTTACTCCCCTTTTTAAGCTCTGTCAGGTTTCCGAATTTCTTGAATCTCGGTACAAAAGCAAAAAAGTTAGGGCTGTTTGGGTATTCCAGTTAATTTACCAAGACTCTGTTAATTTACCAAGCGAGTCAGATTCGGGGGCCCAAACCAATGGAATGGAGCACAGGTTCTAAAAGACCAAACTGGGATACATTGGGACTTGGTCTATAAACCAAATCAGGACATCCATGCACAATCCTAAGACAGTTCAACAATACCAGACAGACAAAGTTAAGGGGCCCAACTGTCCCTTGAATTCAGCATGTGACCTGGGATATGGAGGATGATTGTTTTTAATGGTACCTCTTTGTGCTCTGGTGTGAACAGAGATAAATACCAGACAGACAAAGTTAAGGGGCCCAACAGCCCCTTGCAATTCAGCATGTGACCTGGGATACGGTGCTTGTGCTCTGGTGTGGGGGAAGTATGAGTTCAAATTTTGTTTGTTTGCTTAATGGGTACGAACTTTCCAAAACTCACAAAGATTGTTATAAATCAGTGGCTCCTGACCTTGGGGCCCTGGATGTTCTTGAACTATGACTCCAACGAATCCTGGCCAGCACAGCCAGTGGTGAAGGCTGCAAATCTCATAGACTCTTTCTTACTCTTTGGGAGAACCAAAGGGAGGGCAGGAGTGACATTTTTCTATGGGACTGCAGCAAGATTTCTGTGAAATTTTTACCTCCAAGAGATCTTGCAGGATTCCTCCAAGGTTCCGTAGCCTTAAAAAAAAAAACTAGAAGCTATACAGGATTATTGCAATTTTCGAGCAAAAGAATTCTCGAGGATCCTGCAGTGATTTAGTATATTTTAGGGTCAGTGATTTAGCATGTTTTAGGACAACCCTAGTCAAAAATTCCATGAGCGTCACAGATGACGATCGACAGCACTCGGAAACCATTCTCGTGGGTCCTCGAGAAACTCTGATCCTGATAACTGGGTGTTTCTCTTATTATACAGTATTATGTTATTTTGATCTAGATTCGTTCGTTGCCCAGAGAACAGGCATCGCCACTAGTTGGGTGGGATAATTAAACAATTAAAATTAAAAATAAGCACCTATCTTAAGCATGCTATTGCTGCTGCCATTAGTCACAAGAAAATACCACGTGTTCCCCCCCCCAAAAATGCATATCAAAGTGACCCACCAGAAACAAACAAAAATGGTCGAATTCAACTGGAAAGCTACAGTGGCATAATTAGACCAACATGTGTTTCAGCCATGAATGGCCATCCATTTAATAAGTCGGCATCGGCATCAGCTGTCATGGACTGTCATGCGACTGGCGTCTGATAGCAAATGCTTACACCAACTTCATAACTTGCAGGAATTCAAGCTGAGATTTACTCCCACATACTTAAGATGGTGGGTGCAAGGACTAGGATTCTGGCCTTTCAGTGGAATCGTTACAATTTGGTAAGTTACAACTGCCTTTGTGTGTGTGTGTGTGTGTGTGTGTGTGTGTGTGTGTGTGTGTGTGTGAATCACCCGAAGCTTTAATGGATTGACCTAGTCCTTGAAATGTCACACACGCCAACACATGCGCACACACATATTTCAAATGTACAGGATCGCAATGCTCCTTCCCCCCTCCCACCTCAATAGTCCTCTTCAAAAGATCCTTCTACACATTGGATCACGTTGAAGCAAGGTGCATGGGAAGTAGCGCCATCTCAACATCCACATAACCAGGAAGGAAGGTGTTAGACTTCCCCTCTGCATGTGTGAGGCCAAGCCAGCATGCGTGATGGGTCATGAATCTCCCTCAATGTGCTGATTCCATGCATGAACATCCATTCCTAGCTCTCCAAATCACATCCTTCCCGCTGGGGACCCAGAAATGCTGGGACTGGAGATTTATATATGTAGATGAAGGGCAGGGCTATGCGGATGAGGTTGGGCTTGACTCTGTATAGCTGGGATGCCCAAGGGTGAGGAAGACATTTAGCCCTCAGCAAAACTATATTGATCCTTTGGCACGAATGACCAATTGCCACTTGCAGCTTGCACACGATCCTGGTGGGACACCGTATCTCGAAAGGAAACTTGTGCTTCCTTCTTTGAAGGACATCAGAAGAAGCTTGTTTCTTCTGATGTGTTTGGAATGTTCCTTTTTTGGAGTTCAACCACGGTGGTTCAGGAGAAGACATAAGGAAGTGTGCCTTCCCTTGGAATCCTTCATTTATTATTTTAGTGTACACAGTTGGACACTTTTGGTCAAAATTCCTTGTTTGGCACAGCAAATCACACTAGAGTAGGCCCATTGAATCAATGTGGATTTGGTGAGTCAACTCTTCTGTGCATTCCATGGATTCAAAGAGACTGGCTCTAACTGCAATTTACTATGCTGAAGTAAGTTGCAATCAGAGAAGGCCCATTTGAATCAATGGAACTTAGGTGGAGGTTGATTCACCATATCCCCATTGATTCAGTGGGCCTACTGTAGTCTGACTTACTATGCAAAGGGACAAGATTCTGGCAAATGTGTTGTGCCAACGTGCAATACAGTGGTGCCTCACTTGACAGTTACCCCGCATGACAGTTTTTTAGCTAGACATTGACTTTTTGCGATTGCTATAGCAATTCGCAAAACAGTGATTCCTATGGGGGAATTTTGCTGGACAATGTTTGGTCCCTGCTTCGCAAACCGATTTTCGCTAGACGACGATTTTGACAGCTTCCTCCGCGCTCGCAAACAGGTGTTTTCGGGACCTAAGCTTCGCAAGACGACGATTTAAACAGCTGATCGGCGGTTCGCAAAGTGGCTTTCCTATGGCTGATCTTCGCTAGACAGCGACAATTCTTCCCCATTGCAATGCATTAAACAGGTTTCAATGCATTCCAATGGGGAAATGCTTTTCGCTAGACAATGATTTCGCTAAACAGCTATTTCAGTGGAATGGATTATCATCGTCTAGCGAGGCACCACTGTATGTCTGGGATTCAGAGGTGTGGTTTTCTTGAACTACAGTTCCCAGAATTCCCAGGGCAGCCTAGTTGTGCTTCCTGGGGGATTCTGGGATATGGAGTCCAAACACATAGATAGGCACATCTCTCCTGGAGCTATCAAAACACTCTGCAGGCTAGTTGTGCTTCCTGGGGGATTCTGGGATATGGAGTCCAAACACATAGATAGGCGCATCTCTCCTGGTGCTATCAAAACACTCTGCAGGCTATATCTCCTGAAAATGTTCCTTAAAGGCTCTTGAAAATTCAGTGGCCAGGCTGACTCTGAGGTGCTCAGTCTTGTAGTTCCAAAAAAGGAATTAAATGTCTTTTTTGACCCTTGTTTCTCTAGACAGTCACTGAGAAGAAAAGAGTGCTTTTGATTCAAGAGCAGAAGAGAGGCCTCGTCCCTCCCCGCCCACATCAAGAGGTTTCCCTCCCTTCCTCAACCTTGATGGATCCTTTGCGGGATGGGAAAGGATCTGTTTCAGACAGCAAGGAGATCCCGGCCCATCAGAAGCAGCCCAGACAATGAACGACAGTCACAATGCAGAATGGAAGATGAAGATATGAACGGTTCTCAGACTCATAATTTACAGAAGGAAGGAACCAACTGATCCCAAAGCTCACCTCCCCATTCAAGAAGCAGTAGAGGACAGCCACGACGAAGCCCTGAAGAGGAGAGAGAGGAGATACTGGTCACAAGGCCACGAGAATCCTGTCAGTTCAAGGTATTTTTTGTCTCAGAGCTGGGAAACATTGCTTCGTTCCAATCCTGTCAGTTCAAGGTATTTTTTGTCTAAGAGCTGGGAAACATTGCTTCGTTTGGACCACAACTCCCAGAATCCCCCAGCTGGCTTCTAGGATTTGTAGTCGAAAGCCAGCAACCCTTCCAGGTCCTGTCATTTCCCTACACTAGAGCTAGAACCTGGGGCATTACTTTTTAAAGACCAAAATCCTATCCATGTTCACCTACAGTTTCAGTATTGTGACATGGCTAATTGCAGCTAATTGATTGAGGAGCCTTGTGAATGTGAGGTAGTGGTTAAGCTGCAATATTACAGCCAAAACTCTGCTCGTAACCAGGGTTCAATCCCTTTGAAAGGGATTCAAAGGCCCTGGGCCGTGTCTTGGTTATGGGCCTGGCTTTGCACCTCATGGTGCAATCGAGATGGGCTGTGGCACCTTTCCAATTAGCTGCAATTAGCTGTGGTAAGCTATAGAAAACTTATGTAACTGCCAATAGTATTCTATCCAAAGTCAGTGAAAAAGTAATCAGTTACAGCTACAGGTTCCAATGATAATGGTGAGTTATTATTATAGTTACTTTTTAAAAGTTGCTCTTGACTCTTTAGTTTCTCAAAGACAAGTAAGAAGTTGCTTTGAAGTTCCTTCCAAAACTTTGAAGGCTATGAGTAGCTGGCCTGGGAGGAGGCATACTGTCCTCTCACTGGTACGCTGGTTGCCTCAGTGTGTACAACAGAGCAGCAGAAAGCAGCATGAGGCAGCACCCGAACCAGGTCATACTCCTATTCCTCCTCCTCCATCATTTAAGTAGTCACCATCCCCACCCCCAGCTGTAAAAACAACTGAAAAGGTACAGTTCAATTGCTGAAGGAGTGTCGTTGTTTGCCATTTTGATAGAACTCTAACGTGACTTAGGGATCCTTTCATTACTGAAAAAGAAAATCGGTGCAGTAATGCAGAACCCCATGATCCACTGATTCACTGACAACGTGACTTAGGGATCCTTTCATTACTGAAATGCAGGACCCCATGATCCACTGATTCGCTGACAGTATTAAAATACTGAAAGAAAAAAAATCACAATAATACCGTATTTTTCAGTGTATAAGATGCCCCCCACTTTTCTAACCCAATATTAAGAAATCTAAGTGGGGCTTAGCAAGTGGTGGGGAAAGCAGGGATCAAAGCCCTGAAGGATCACTTTGATTCCTGCTTTCCCCTCCACTTATTTTTGTTCCTTCCTCAGCTTACTTCTGTGTATAGGCCGACCCTCAATTTTTAGTCTAAAGATTTTAGACAAAAGTATAGTCTTATACACTGAAAAATACGGTATATATTTCTAACAATGAAGTTACCAGAACTGGCCTCTAGAGGTAGCTAGAGGTCATGTGATGTATCATGTTTCCTAGAGAAATATATTTTCACAATGTCATGAACAACAGAGTTAGCCAAAGATCAAGCTATGCACAGCATTCGCTATGATAATAGCATTTGCCACAATCCACTTTTTTCAGCCTCTGTGGAGGGGCTTAGAATCAACCTCTTGTGGATATGGGGGTCCTACTGTAATTCATTGGAAATAACTAACTATAAGTAACCAACTACTTAACCAAGTTCTGATTAGAGCAAGTCATCTTTTTAGACCACTAAAAAAACAAAAAAGTCTTTTTTTATATAATGTGCCAAAGACAGGAATTCTTGTGCCAGCAGGATAGCTTTTGTTCACCTGCTCTATTGCTAGGTTTTATTTTTCAGACGCTACGATATCTCAGTTTACGCAGCATGCACTAGGAAGTTTCTTTTAAGGAGTCTGCTCGCTCCTTCCTTCCTTCCTTCCTTCCTTCCTTCCTTCC